TGTTCTCTCTTTCATCTTCTGACATGGGAACTTGCTTGGAGCTTATCTGCCTTGCTGTGTGTTTTCTGTGATGTTGATTGACAGTAGCCTTTTGTATCTCTGCTTCTTTCTGTATGTTTGCCTGCTGAGCCTGGTCTCGTTTCAGTCAATGGAATGCAATCATTTTGTTTTCCATAAAATTTTTAACCAATGTGACTCTAGGATCTGGTTGATTTGTCTTTGTAAAGTGCCTTGAGATGATACATGTTGTGTATTGGTCGTGTTGAAAACCGATCTTTTTTTTTTTTCTTTTCTTTTTTTTTCTTTTTTTTTTTTACAGTGTCCTGTGGAAATTGTCTTGATGCCAAAAAAAGCCCAAGAGATTTTACTTTCACAAGTGGAGCAGCACAGCTATCGCCTTAGTGTTCCACTTGATTTATGCATATAAATAGCTTTATCATAATTCATGCAGGGAGTATTACAGATGATATGGACACTGAAATTAAAACAGAACAGTAAAGGAAAAACAGAAAAAAATGAGAAAAGATTAAAGAAAGAGGAGATAAAAGGGAGACAATAATAAAAGATCTTAAGTCTGCTTCATCACCTGCAGAGAGATGTAAAAAGAACAGTACAACCAACAGACATGGTACAAGACATACAATAAAGTAACACCTTAAAGGGGAACGCCGTTTTTTTTACATTTGGCCCTTGATTTTACGTAATTACATCATGTTCTACTCACCCATATAATTCTTGTGTCAGTTGGAGCTGTTCTGAAGATATTCCGTTTTGTTATATCCAAGTAACGTCTTCCTATGGGCGATCGACTTGAAGGCACAAACTGAACTGTTCATAATTTATTCTTTATGGTATGCCGGCATTAATAACCTAGGCAAATCACTGTCCCCCAGACATCCGTGGTTATATTTTGTATATTTATATGTTTTAAAAACTGAAGCTGAAGTATAAGTAGTATTATTCAGTCTGACATGTACGTATACTGTAGTAGCTGAAAATCAGAATATGGGCTATGGAAGTAAATCTCTATGTACCTGGAGCCAAGCACCTGTAGTTGTCTGTGAAATTGCATTTGTGCATGTAAAGTTCATCCAAAGGAGAAATGCTCAACAGCGGTTTTGAAGAGCCGAAGAGGCGCCCCCTCCCCCTCCAGAACACTGAGGCAAGCACCAGAGGACTCAAAGCTCCAGATGCCCAAAGGGACCACAAGAGTAAAGGCACCCAAGAGGGGCAACCCACGAAATCCAACCCCCCACCGAAGGAGGAAGAGAGACAACCCAGAGGAAGTCTACCAGCCACCGCAATGTCGGAGCCCCCGGGAGCCCCAGGGATGAGTCCGCGGGCTCTGCCGGCAGGCAGCCACCCCGAAGAGGATCCGGCCATGGGCCCCAGGGACCCAAGGCCCCAGGGGCGCCCCACCCCCCAGGGGGAGCCCCAGTCAGGCCCCGGTGGGCCAGGCCCCGTGGGGCAGCCGCCAGGAATAAGGCAGTACGCACCCGGGCATCCACCCCCAAACACCGGTGAAACCAGGCGCCAACAGGCCCCGAGACCCCACAGCACACCAGTGGCCCCGGCAGGGCTGGACAGCCACTCGTACACTGACCCAGACCCCAACCAGCATACCCCACAGAACCCGAACCCACTGTGCCGGGGCACCCGCCCGTGGACAACACACCCTAAGGACCCCCAGACCTACCCTGGACCCACACAGCGGCAGCCCAGCTACCAGGCCAGTAACCCACGTCCGCCACCACGGAACCCTCCAAAGAGCAGGACACCCTGGGGCATCCCAGGCCCATCCCTGATGGAGGCAACAGACTCCGGGGTTAGTTCCGCCGGGCACCTCTAGAGCCCCCAGGAGCCATGGACCCCCAAACCAGCTCCCGCGCCCCGCAGGTCATGTTTTTTATTTTGCTCCATATATATATATATATATATATATATATATATATATATATATATATATATATATATATATATATATATATATGTATATGATTACGTCTCCTACCTCCTGTCCCTTTACCTTTTGTGAGTCAACAACTATCCAGGCTAGGAATGGAAGCAGCACAGCTGATGTTTCTTTCCAGGATGACATCACAGCCAAACAGGAACAGACGAGGCAAAGCTACTCTGAGGAAAAGCAGAGAGAGCAGTAGGTTAGAGATTGAACTAACAGATTCTGCAGAATAGGAGAACAGAGAGAGAATGAAGCAGAATGATGAAAAAGGGGTCCCTATGTCCTCCAAAAGTCTAAGCCTATAGCAGCATAACTATAGAGATAGCTCAGGATAACCTGAGCCACTCTAACTATAAGCTTTATCAAAAAGGAAAGTTTTAAGTCTAGCCTTAAAAGTAGACAGGGTGTCTGCCTCAAGGACTAAAACTGGTAGTTGGTTCCACAGGAGAGGAGCCTGATAACTAAAAGATCTGACTCCCATTTTACTATTAGAAATTCTAGGAACCACTAGTAAACCTGCAGATTGAGAGCGAAGTGCTCTGTTAGGAACATAAGGAACAATCAGATCTCTGATATCAGATGGAGCTTGGCCATTTAAGGCTTTATATGTGAGAAGGAGGATTTTAAATTCTATTCTGGATTTAACAGGAAGCCAATGAAGAGAAGCCAGGATAGGAGAGATATGATCTCTCTTTTTAATTGTCATCAGAACTCTGACTGCAGCATTTTGGATCAGCTGAAGGCTTTTAACTACAGTTTGAGGACTTCCTGATAGTAAAGAATTACAATAGTCCAGCCTTGAAGTAACAAATGCATGGACTAGCTTCTCAGCATCACCCCTGGACAGGAGATTTCTAATTTTTCCAATATTCCTCAGATGAAAGAAGGAAATTCTAGAAACCTCTTTGATATGGGATTTAAATGACAGGTCCTGATTAAAAACAACACCAAGATGTTTTACTTAATTATCTGAAATCAGTTTAATCCCATCCTAATGAAATGATTGGCTAATCAGCTTATTTTTCAAAGACTCTGGTCCAAAGATTATAACTTCTATTTTGCTGCATTCAGAAGGAATGTTCTCCCCATTGAAAGCAATTAAATTTCTTTCATCTCTAGGAATAAACAGTGGTGCAGATCCCTCCCCTTAAAACTCATCCTTCAGCATCCTTCCCCTGTGTGTCCATCGAATTCTCAACCATGTGCGTGGGTGTGTTAGTGAGTAAATGTGTGTGTGTTTATCTATGTGAGTGGATCTGTATGTGGAAAACTGGTCAGGAGCCATCCTGGTGCTGGTCTTGGAAGATAAAGTATCTTGGAGCAGTGATCCGCTCCAACATGCAAAACAGTCCATCAGGTTACCCTCTGTTACCACAGCAGCTTTGAACCATAACAGTCTTGTGTTCCCAAAACTTGGCAATTCACAGTTCCTGAAAATGCTGACTTCGACTGCACCTCCTCTATGCAAAGCGAAAATATTCTCCCAAAAAAAAACAAAAAAAAAATGCTCCGATGAAGAAAAACAACAAAACAAAAAAAAGAAAAGAAACAACAAAAAATGAAAAACAAATCTGTTCTAACACCCAGAACCAGTCAATATTTTTTTCCATATTTGGACCCCTGACCTGTTTCAAAAATGTGCAGGAAACATAATCTCCTCTTATATGTTTTATCTTAAGTGTGCAGTTCCATCTAATGTATTAATTGCAGCTGCAGGTTAAGTAACTTCAGGTGTTCTCATTTCTTTGTGCATGAAATGTATGGTTACCCATCCCCCAAATATAGTATCCCCAAACTGTATACATTTAAAGATAGCTCCCATCATGGCGGGGCTGATATTAACTCATTAAGTCTTCATCAGTATTGCTTATATTGAAAGATGTCATCATTTGCTTTAAACATTTGCTCAGAAAATTTTCTAATTTATCCTAAAGTGCGTTTTGTTGTTGCTACTTTACTATTCCCAAATGTTGAAGTTTGAACTTTCTGTCCCTTTAATAGTCTGCTAATTAAAACTGACCAACCTATTTATTAAAAACCCAGTCCACTCTATAACATAGTAAAACATCTCTAAATCCTCTTTTTATTCCTTTATTTAAGATTAGCTAACCCCAGATGATATGGAGAATATTAAGTAGACTGTTTCAACCTGTCAATAAAGTTATTCCTATAATAAAACTCTATGTTGATGCCATCACTATTGATATTTTTAACTAAAAATTCCCAACTACTCCAGTGTTGTTTAGAAAGGTATTACATCTACCTGTTGATCCCCGTAAACTATATACATTATTCATGGATCTGTATTAATCAACCTGTTTTAAATTAGTTGCTCATAATTTTTCATTGTGAATAAGAACTCTGGTGTGTCAGTTCACTTTTTTTTTTCATCAGTCTTGTCAGAGGATCCCATGTCCTTCCATCACCCCATCACTGCCAGTGGCCTGTTCTCATCCCAAGCAGTGTGCATTCAGTCACTTCCTTAATGGTGTAAAATTAGTCTCTGTTTCCCCTTTAGTGTAATCCTTTCTGTGACTCAAGAAAGAAAGTGTCCAATGTCTCTCCAAACAAAAAGTCCATTGTTCATTGTGAAACAATTCAATCCTTAGTGTAGTCAGCGCTATTCAAACAAAATTAACATAAATGCCACGTCTTTTTTTTTTTCTTCTAAAGGCTAAGATGTTAGTAAACAAACAAAAAAAAGGCCAAACATACAGACACAAACAACGACAAACATGTAAGGCAACAAAAAACCCCAGTGGTGTTTTTGATTTCTCCAAAAAGCTGTAGGATCATCATGTCATTCCCTTAATGCCTCTGTCAGCATGACCGCTCTTAATGGGTGTCCAATTCCACCCTAACAAAAGTCCTCGAGCTTCAAACCCTCATATCCTTTTTTCCTTCTTGGTTTTTTTCGGACCCCCGGGGGATTTTAACCAAACTCAGAGCTCACCAGAATGGCCTTCAGCCAGGAACAAAACATGTCGCTTACAATCTCTAAACACTTCATTTGTCATGCTGCATTCTAACACCATCTCTCTGCTCTTCTAGTCAATGATTCGGATCCAGTCCAAGTCAGTCCAGTCAGTCAGAACCTATTTAAATTCTCTTATCAAAAAATGTCAACCATCTGAACCTCTCTCTCTCTCTCTCTCTCTCTCTCTCTCTCTCTCTGGCTGCTCTCAGCCAAGTTGTTCATTTTATTTGCCAGGGCTTCTGCACCTGCTGGGAAAATAAGGGTTAATGCACATTTTAAACAAAACACAATGAAGGACGAGACTCTGCCAGCCTGTCCTGGAAGATAACTGTTAACATTTAAGGATTGTTACAAACACAGCCTGAAAAAACAAAAACATATTTAGGCAAAACAACCTCCTGATTCTCCTTAAATGGGCCTCCGAATTATCATGCCTGCTCACTGACAGCCTCACTGTCACTATCTACAAGCATGGAAAAAGTAAATGGCCCCTCAGGTTTGTTACCAAGAAAAAGCTATTTAAACAGTTTATCAGTTAGTTAATAGTTAATCATTTCATCCACAAAAAGTAGTAAAGTTATTAGAATTTAACAAGTCAGGTAAAGAAAGTTAGGACCAGATGAATAGTGAAAAGATAAGTGTTAATAATGATTAGAGATGCAAATGAATCAGTTTGTGCCTAGGCAGTTTCCAAACAGCATTATATACCCCGATAAAAATAAATATGGATAAAAACAGGAGACTGAAAAACCCAGGGTCAGGTCACATTAAAATTGTTTTAACTCTTCAGCCTTGTTTATAAAAGTTTGACCCAGCTAATCAGCTGAGCTCCTGTGGGTATATTGGCCATATGCTAAGAACTGCTATCACTTTGTCCAGTTCCAGGTTGAAGTGTGAGTCATCCTGTTCCTAATCAATCTCTAATGCAATCAAACTACTTTAAAATTAAATGATGTAATTCCCCATCTGGGATTTTAGTTTCCCAAAAAATAAAAGCACCAATTCTGCTTCCCTCTGGATTTAATAAAATAAATCTATAATCTATTAATCTTTAGATTACCAGCTGCACTCCACACCCAAAAAATACCCCACACCTTACAACAGCACCCTGCTCTGGTCTTGTCAGAGCCTGTCATAGGTGGAGCCTCTGTGCAACATGTTTGACAGAATTCCCCTTCTGCTATGTCCCAAGAGCTCCTTCTAAATCCTGTAAAAACGCAAATCATATTAATGTCACATCAATAACTATTCCAGATCATTTCAAAATGCACCATACACATTCGACCTCACATGCATTCAACATTTAGGACAAACAGACAGACATTGGCCACATAAAGTTTTTTTAATCTATCAGTAACAATTTTTTGATCGATCTTCATAGTGGAATTTTCCCAATTTCAACAAAAACATCATAATTTCTTCACCAGTCCGGTCTTAAGACCTCTGCACCAGTGCTTTACAGCCTAATTTTAGGATCCTTGTTAAACTAGATGTGCACATTTATAGAAACCCAATATTTATTTCCTCACGTTAGATATTAAAATAAGTTTTCACTCCCAATGATTTCCATTCCCTTGCCTTAAACCAGAACTACTTACCTAAATTGCCTTTCCACTCCTTACTTTTGCTTCCTTTCTGGTCCCCATCCATCCATCATCATTCATTTCTCTATCAAACTCCCCCTGCATTTTATCTACCGCTGTCTCCCTCTCTTCTTTTTATCCGCTGAACTCAACCTTCCTAATTTATTTTTTGATGTAATCCATTCTCTTTTTTATACAATTGAATAATTAAAGATCCATTTAATTCAGCTTAGAGTATCCTCAATGATCAGTGTTTCATTTATATTCACTTTGCTACAGTTAGCTTGTGTGGTTTAACATATTCAAATATGAGCTCCAGAATCAGTCAC